GCTCCTATAATGCATCTAGGGATTATTGATCGCCTGAACCTTTGGTATGTTTTAAAAACGGTTGTGGATGAGAGTGTATAACATTTTTCATAACGGTTCACACGGGGGATTTTAGAAACAATGCACTTTGGAAAGTATTGTGCGTGGCGAATGTGTGGACGAATTATTGCGTCGTCCTCGAATTAGGAGGACTTTGGAACCCGTGTCCAGAATGCTTCTGATCAAAGTGATAAGATGTGTGTGTGTGTGTCTTTGTGAGAGGGAGAGGAATTCACTTTATCTTGAAAATAAAACTAACATTTTCAGTAAAAATGGACTTCATTCAATGTTTGCAGAAATAGGTTAATACATTATTTAAGAGTCAAAGAGTTTTATACATAAAGGGACGACTATATTTTTAGTTTCTATATGCCTGTCTCCTCACACGTAAGATATCGCGCCAACAGCGAATGTTGATATGTCGATGTACGACAAAAGATTGGTCGGAAACTACGGTGCGTGGGGCGGAAAGACTTCGCCGTGATTAGTTCAGAATGCAGGGAATGGGCAACGTCATCCAGATTTCAATAGTTTTGAAATGCCGTTATAGGATAATATCGACTAAAAAGGCATAGGAAACACCGGCAACAGAGAGAGAATTCAGAAGACTTCTTTATAATGAACAAATCTTTTCTGAACAAACAGGAAAAACTACAGGAGAAAACAAAGACTAAGAGGAAAATGCAGGTTACTGTGAATCGGCAGACTAAGGGTTGAAGTGAGTGGTAGAAATGTAAACAATGCGTGTAATAAAGAATTCTACGAGCTATAGTTAAAGGGACTCGGTATGTAGGGAAAACGAAGACTTTGATGACAGAGCACTGCTAGGGTACCTGAAAGAATATACCTAGCGTGGATGGCTGTCAAAGGATTCAGGACTAGAAGAGAGCTACAGTCGAAAAATATACTGAACTGATTTTTCACTGTTCAATGGGAGACTATTTTCCTGCGGCCATACTGAGACACGGTTCAGAGACTGGAGATGGGTTTGATTTTTGAGAGGGTGACCAACAACCACATCATCCGCGTATTTACCTAACAGACATTCGTTTGGCGATCCACTTAATAGAGTAATACCCACGTCGGTAGATTACCGAGCATTCGATCTCAGAAGCAGGAAAAAGAGGCTGAGTCGACGTGTTTAGAGTACACGGTACTACTTCATTTTGATCTGAGATAGAGGGAAATGCAGGATCAAAAAGAATCTGTACCTACAAAATTCGCGGGAGGCATGAAACTGATGACTGGTGTGCTCTGGGTCGTCGAAGTCATCACCAGCTGATTCAGCCTTTAGTTAGAGACGTTTCTTTTCTCGTTCGTTAAAGTTGAAATGTACGCAGAACTCGGAAGTCTAAAGCAGACCTTTGACAATCCAATAAATGCATGGTTTTCACTGATATGGCCAAGAAATGTTGACGGAGTACGGAAATCTGGATCGTCCCCCTTATTACAGATGACCTCCCGTCAAATCCTGATAGGTTTGTGGTAAGATTTTCTGTTGGGGTAAGGGTTAGCGCTGGGTTTGGGAGAGTCGACGTTAGGATTAGTGCTATAGTTTGTGTTAAGGTTAAAGTTTGAACATGAGAGAAGGCGCCCCTGAAATCTCTCTTAAGACCACCTAAATTACAGGGTCCTTAGTCCCGTGTCCAACCGAGTATTCCAATTCAGTAAAAACTTAGACCAGAACTATGGCCCGAAGGAAACCGTGTTAATCAGTCATGGGCGACTCGTCAGATTGCACATCTTTATGTTTCCGTGACTTGACCTTCGGAAGTCGTGGAGCATTTGGACTGGATGTTTAATCATACAGATCTGCTGCATAGAACGGAGGCTTGGTTATTGCCTTGATAGTACATTTTGACTTACTGACTGCAGTATGTGGTCGTCCAACTGATAGCTCTAAATTTATTTGAGCCAGGAAAGGCCGCAAAATATAACGTTTACCCAAAACACGACAAATATAACTAAAATATAGCAGCTTTCACTATCTTCTCAACAAATGATGTGATAAAATGGTTAAAATCTCTCAAAACAAATAATTTTCAGACTCTGTCCGAAGTTCTGTATGAATATTTGGGCCAAAATTTGCCGACTTCGGTAGCTTTAGGTAGCGTGAACGTCACCCACCTGCAAGTGATGGATAATTTAACGTATCTCGGCAGCACCCTCTACTGCAGCACCAAAGTGGATGGCGAAGTGACCCCAGGAATTCCCAATTCCAGTCAAGCTTCGGTCGTCTTAAAAACACACATTGGAATCGTCACGGTCCTCAACTGAGCAAGAAACTTAAGAAGTACAAGACTGTCAACTAAGTTAAAGCGGTCACCTCGTGCCAATAGAGGACTAGAGGCTACGCAAACGAATCTTTTACGGATGTGTCTCGACGAGTTCGGGCCTACAGGGAAGTCAAGTCCGGCGCTACAAGGATAGTTTAAAAACCTCCATGAAGCGCCTGCATATCAGCCCGACAGACTGGGAGGACCTCTGTGGACCTACGTGGAAGAGAACAGTAAAGGCAGGCGCAGCAATCGTCGAATCAAATCGCATCGCCGCTGCTAAAGCCAAACGCGAGACACGTAAATCTCAAATGCTTCCGTCGACGCCACCCAACGCCAACGCCCAACCGCCTCCAACGTGCCCACGATGTCAACGGCCATTCCGGGCGCCAATTGGACTTGTTAGACACCTCTGGACCAAGCGCTGCAACCGGACTGCACCAACCCCTGTCTTTCTACCCAACTCTCCCTCACCTCTTGCGCCGTCAACTAACGCTGACCGCCCTTCAACAACCACTATCACCGTCCTCCTCTTCCTCCACATGTGTTGCTATGGCGTCTGCTATGCACATTAACACTACACACAATCCTGACACACCAAAAAACACCAAAACCACCACCCTCAACACCAGTGCTATCTTCATTGAGACCACACATTTACCTCACACATCGACCTGGTCGGTCAATTGCGAATCCATCGCACAGAGACTGACGGACCAGTGCCTGGGGCACTAACCTAAACCCGCCGCATCCGCCTCCACTGTCTACAATGCTCTCGCACTTTCATGCGTCGCATGGGCCTATTTGGCAACGAGAACGGAGTCGATCACAGCCCCGATAAATTTAGCACATTCAACACACCCACCATGCTCAGCCCAACCTACACCCCCTCGCACAGCGCGCCCAACACCAGCTCCACCATTTCCATCACGAATCGTACATTGACACCGCCGACTTCTCACATCCACACTGTTCCCGTACATTCACCTCACGCATCGGCCTAATCCGTCACTTTTGGATCAATCGCGCAGCGACTGGCGAACCAGTGCCTGGGGCACCAACCTACACTCTCCGCATCCGTCTCTACTGTTTACATTGCACTTGCACGTTTATTCACCTCATGGGTCCATTAGGCCACATGACCATCCCGGAAAACCTACGGTAGACAACCACCGGCTAAACCACACCATCATATCTTCCATCAGCTGCATCCCACCGCACATCAAAATCAGCCATCGCAAGCACCCAAATGCCACCTCCCCCCCACGCAAGTGGAGTGTGTGTCTCGGCTCCTTTTCCTATCCTGCATGTGACAAAGACGAGGCGTCGGGCACCGTGACCCGAAAGGCAGCCGAATGACGTCCAATTCAGTCTACTCAGTCTGCCCAGCTGTGTGTGTGTGTTGGTGGTGGGCTGAGAGCCAGGCTATCACGGCCTCTTATCCAGCGATTTGTGACACTCTCATGCATGCGAGGAGAGTGTGTTTGTGTGTGTGCTTTATGTACACTGCCTCACAATCGACGACTGTTTGCTTACCCAACCTTCAATGGTGACGGTCAAGCCTGAATGAAGGGTCACGTATCGCCCATCTAGGTCAATAGGTGTGAAAGCATATACTATGGTGACAATTCGACCATCGGTTTCGATGATGTCCACCGTGTGCCCCACAGTTGCAGCAGCAGTGGGAGCAGGGACGGTGACTTACGTAGGGGTTTACAGTGCTAGTAGACATGCGTGGCATCTACCTACACACTCTCCTCCTCCCTCGCCCGAGCCCGGTGTCAAGACAGAGTCAAGAAGACCGGAGACGAGCGGGACCGCAGGTGGATGGCTCGGACGGATCCTCACCTTGGCGTTCCACCACACCCCCTGGTCCACACAACAATAACCAGGATTTCAACCAACAGCAGAGATTTGGAGGCTGGCACGACCGAAGCCGCACCTAGGCGTACCGCCAACTCCTGGCACGGATCCCACACTGTGGTGGGAATGCCATATAGGCCACATTAAAAAGGAGCCATTGCAGCCTGACTCTCAGACCGCCTCCAGTCAAGGAGGAAGTCCAAGTTACCCTGTCGGTTGGCAGCCTTCCAAGCCACGGCTTTTCGCGCACCGTGATAGCTTCAAGCGCGTCAGATTGTTTATAGTGAGGAGAAAGTGCGCTGAGTCGTCGACCTCACTCTCCCTTCCCATCCCCACACCCCAGCCGCTGTCCGAGCCGGTCAGCAGACTGGAGTGGGGAGTGGGCGCGGTGGCTGTCATGGTCGACTAACCATGACTGCGCGCGCCACGACACGACCTGGCCCCCAATACACACAACACCAGGATTTCACACAACGGGGATTGAACGGCGTGTCTCTCACTTGCGTGATAGGGCCGTGGAAGGTGCAGCTTCAGCTCGTCCCCAGCCCACCAGTCCGCCACTCCACACAACACACACACAACGTGACGAACTGCATGAGCCGAGAGCGGGCGTCAATCAGCAACCTTCCTATCCACGACACTTGACGTGTCGGGATAGTCTCGGACACAAGTCACCTGTGCAGCCGAAGCCGCATGGGGACCGAGTCGAGATGCACACTTTCCACTTGCGTGAGAGATAACAGTTGGGTGCGTGTTGATGTGTGGTGATGATGTTTGAGGAAGGTAGGGAGTGTGTGTATGTTTGGTGTAACCGGCGGTTGTCTACCGCGGGTCATCGTGGATGCGCATGTGTCCGAATAGGCCCATGCGATGCCTGAAAGTGCGAGGACAGTGTGGGCAGCTGAGACGAGATTGGTGAGTGCAGGTTGGTGCTTCAAGCGCTGGTTCCCCAGTCTCTGTGCGATGGATTCGCAAGTGGCCGACCAGGCCGATGCGTGAGGTGAACGTGCGTGGGCAGTGTGGGCATGAGAGGTCGACGATGTCGGTGTCAGCTGTAGAGGAAGCGGTGGTGATGGTGGTGGTCGTGGTGGTGGTGGTGATGGGCGCGTGTGGCGATGGAGCGAGGGTTATGCTGGGCCTGGTGGGTGTGTCAGAATTGTGGTCAACTCCGCTCTCGTGAATGCGCATGTGGCCGAATAGACCCATGCGATGCGTGATGCGAGGGCAGTGTGGGCAGTGGAGGCGAGTGCGGTGTGTGTAGGTTGGTGCTCCAGGCACTGGCTCGCCAGTCTCTGTGCGATGGATTCGCAAGTGACCGACCAGGCCGATGTGTGAGGTGAAGGTGTGGTCGCCGTGAGGGCAGGTGTTGTCCTGATCCTCATCGCTGCAGTCGGGATAGGTAGGGATGGATTCTGTTGTTGTGTCGCGGTTAGCGATGTACGAGACGGCCGTCGAAGCGGCCGCCGTTGGGGCAGTGGTGGTGGTGGTGGAGGAGGACGAGGAGGATGGAAGTGGTGGTTCAGAAGAATTGTCAGAGTTAGTTGGCGGCGGAGGGGAGGAAGAGGCGGACGGGGGGACGATGGTTGGTGCAGTTCGAGAGGCGCAGTTGATTTGAAGGTGTTCAACAAGTCCGATTTGAGCCCGGAATGTCCGTTGACATCAAGGACACGTTGGAAGCGGTTGTGCGGCGGCGTTGCGTACTGGGCGAAGTTGTGATTTGCGGGCTTCGCGGTTCGCTTTGGCGGCAGCGATGCGGTTGGCTTCGTAGATCGCAGCGCCCGTCTTCACTGTCCTCCTCCATGTCGGTCGATCGAGTGCGTGCTCCTCCCAGATGGTGTGGTTGATTTGCAGGCGTTTCAGGGAGGACTTCATGGTATCCTTGTAACGGCGAATCTGGCCTCCTTGATGGCGAGAACCCGTCGCGACGTCTCCTTAGAAGAGTCGTTTGGGTAGTCGCTCGTCGTCCATGCGCACCAGGTGGCCGCTCCGGCGCAGCTGCATGTGCCTCAGTTTGGCGTAGATGCTGAGGATACCCGTCCGTTCCAGCACATCCGTGTCGGGGATGCGATCCTGCCAGTTCAGCCTCAGGATACGACGAAGACAACTGAGGTGGAAGTGGTTCAGACGACGTGTCTGCTTTGCGTACACCGTCCAAATCTCCGCTCCATACAGTAGTGTCGACAGGATGACGGCCTTGTACATCTTTAGCTTCGTGCTCAGCTGAAGACCGTGACGATTCTAAACTGTGCTTTGGAGGCGACCGAAGGCTTGACTGGCTTTCGAGATCCTGTTGGCGACTTCGTCGTCGATCTTGGTGTTGCGGGAGAGAGTACTGCACAGGTACGGGAAAATCTCCACCACTTGCAGTAGAGTTCCGTTCACGCTGATTTGTGGCGGCCCGTTGGGGGCTGTGACTGAGTGGGGTGGCGGTTGGTGCATCACCACCGACTTCTGCGTGTTGATGATCAGACCGAAGTTCTCGCAGGCGGCGGAGAATAGGTCCATGCTCCGTTGCATCTCCTCTTCCGAGGTGGTGTTCAGGACGCAGTCGTCGGCGAAGAGGAGTTCGTGAACGGTGGTTGTGGATACGCGCGATTGGAAGTTCATGCGCCGGTGATTCAGGAGATGACCGTCCGTTCTGTAGGCGATGCGGATACCAGGGTGTTCGTCGCGGTAGGCGTCCATCAGCATGGCAGAGAACATGAGACTGAAGAGGGTAGGCGCCAGTACGCAGCCCTGCTTCACTCCATTGGTCACTGCGAATGCCTCAGAGACATCTCCGTTGTCCGTGACTCGCGCCATCATACCGTCGTGCAGCTGACACACCATCTGAGTGAATCGCTCCGGACAGCCGAATTTCTGCATGATCTTCCACAGTCCTTCACAATTCACCGTGTCGAAGGCTTTCGTCAGGTCAACGAAGGTAGAGTACAGGTGGGTCCGCATCTTCTGACACTTCTCCTGAAGTTGACGGGCGGCAAAGATCATATCCGTGGTCCCACGATGACGACGGAAGCCGCATTGGCTTTCAGGCAGAAGGCCCTGGTGGAGATGGTTATTGAGACGGTTGAGGAGGATTCGTGCGAAGATCTTCCCGGCGATGTTCAGCAAGGAGATACCGCGGTGATTGTCGCAGACTTGGCGATTCCCTTTGCGCTTGTAGAGATACACGATGGTTGCGTCCTTGAAATCTTGCGGACTTCGCCTTGACGCCACATCTCCTGGAAGAGCGCAGTCAAGTGATCCATCACTTGGGAACCTCCATGCTTGTAGACCTCAGCAGTGAGCGCGTCCGATCCGGGTGTTTTCCCGCTGGAGAGCTTCTGTACGGCCCTGATGGTCTCCTGGGGAGATTGCGGGAGGTTGAGGTCCACGTTGGTCTCCACTTGTGGCAGGCGGTCGATTGCGGCGTCAGAGATGGCGGAAGGACGGTTGAGGACGCCTTGGAAATGCTCGGCCCATCGCTGTAGGATTTGCGTCTTCTCACTCAGGAGAGTGCTACCGTCGGCGCTGGGGAGAGGAGCAGTGCCCTTCGTCGGAGGACCGTAGACAGCTTTGATGGCGGAGAAGAAGTACTTGCATTCGTTGCGGTCCGCGTAGCCTTGGATCTCCTCAGCTTTGCGAGCAGTCCAGGCGTCCTGCATCTCGCGCAGTCGTTGCTGAATTTGGCGGCGACTGCGATAGAAAGCAGCTTTGTTGTCCTCAATGGGGTGATCTACGTAGGCTTTGTGCAGGCGGTTCTTATCAGCAAGCAGATTTCTGATGACGGCGTCGTTGTCGTCGAACCAGTCCTGATGTTGGCGGGGCCGCGACCGAGGACGGCGAGTGCCGTCGACTGGACCGTGTCTCGCAGTTGACACCAGCGGTTCTCCATGGAGGCGTTCTCGGCAGCGGCGGCGGCGTCGTCGGCGGCAGCGATAGGAAGGTTGTCTAGCTATTGAGCTAGTTAATTGCTGAATTGAAGATGGTGAGCGGGCAAAGACAACAAAGCAACATTCAGCTTACCTGGGGGTCGCTTAGCTTGTGGTCTCCTGCGAGGCTGTAGGCGAATACGCATCTTCGAGATGACGAGGCGATGGTCGGTCCACCCGTCAGCACCCGCGATCGCCTTCGTCACCAGCACGTCCCGCTGATCTCGCCTCCGAACGAGGACATAGTCCAGCAGGTGCCGCTGATGCGACCGAGGATGCCTCCAGGTGGCCTTCTCTCGCTCCGGCAGACAGAAGAACGTGTTCGTCAGGATGAGGCGGTGTTCTGCGCAGGTGCGGAGGAGCAGCAGGCCGTTGTCGTTGGAGCCGCGGAGACCGTGGATACCCAGCACTCCTCTCGAGGCAGTATGGTCTGTGCCGACGCGGGCGTTGAAGTCGCCAAGAACAATAAACATGTCCGCCTTCGGCACAGTCGCCAAGAGGGCGTGCAGGTCCTCGTATAATTTGTCTCTGACGGAGTCGGGATTGGTCATCGTCGTAGCGTAGGCGCTGATGATGGTGGCGAATTTGCCTCCCCAGAGGGGCAGGCGGAGTCTCATCAGGCGATCGTTGATTCCCTGCGGCAGACAGGCCAGTCGTCCCACGATGTCGGTCCGGATGGCAAAGGCGACACCCGCGTCAGGTCGCTCTGGCCTGGGCCGACCACTCCAGAAGAAGGTGTAACCGGCACCCACCTCCTCCAGTTGGCCTTGTTCGGAGAAACGGGTCTCGCTGAGTGCGCGATGTCCACCTTGTAGCGGGTGAGTTCTCGTGCCACTACAGCCGTTCTCCGCTCCGATCGGCTGATCCTCGGATTGTCTAAAAGGGAACGAACATTCCGGGCTGCCAGAGTGAGCGGGCTCACCCTGCCAGTCTGGGGACAACGAGTGGGGCGACGGGAAGGAGGTGGAGAAGAAGATGACGAAGGAGAAGAATAGGCAGAGGAAGAGGTAGGATGAGGAGAATGAGTATGGTTGTTGTTGTTATTGGTATTGTTGTTGTTTCGATTTTCAGTGTTTCGACCATGATTAGACGTCTGCGGTCCTGGCTAGCCTGAAGACGGCGTGGTACTCAGCATTTTTTAGGCCACCTTTTCTAGGCCTTTCCCCTCGTGGGGGCAGGCAGTGCCGCCCCTGAATCGGGCTGCCCATGTTCCTGGTTGGCGCGACCGAATCCCACTATGGGGCCACGACTTTTATGTTTGTAGTGGAGAACGACCGCATATGCCGTGAGTCCGCGGTCTCCGTGTGTGAGAGTGGGCGCGTCTCAGCGTAGGCGATGCGGAGACCCGTCCCGACAGCAGTTGTCCAACGGCGTACCAGGCAGAGCCTCGTCTCGACGATGACGGCGCAATGTTTCATCCGACCATCCGTCCAGCGGAGTCCTCAGTACACTGTGCACGCGGCACAAGCGCACAGCGCCCTCACCTGGTTTAGCCCGCCGGTCGAGACGGCTGCCCGGGGTGTGGCCGCTGAGCAGAGCCCAGCTTCGTGAAGCCACAGGTGAGAGTTGGGTGCAAGCAAATGGACGCTAGGCGTAGCCTCACCTGCAAGCAAGTGAGCGACCACTACGACCATCACGTGAACCCACCGCTGGACATCCCTACACCCCTATGCTATGCCAGTATCAGTAAACCATGGCCCTGGCAGCCTGGAATGCGCTAGCAGATTCCTCACACCTTATTCCCTGCCGGTAGACGCGCTTCCGATCCCGCTGGGTATGCAGGTGGTGGGCATGGCTGCGCGTTCAGCATTCACGTCCTTCTGACTCCTGTTGGGGTGTTGTTGTTGTTGTTGTTGGTGAAAAAATCCGGTCAATTATACGTTGCGAATCAGACAGTAAGGTGGCACGCCTGGGTGCAGGTCCGGCCGTACCGGCCACCTGCCCCCCCCCCGCCTCTGTTCATCTTGACCCTGTCTTCACACCAGGTCCATGTGGGGAGTAGGGAAGAGAGAGTGCGGTAGTAGATGCTGCGAAAGTCTACTATCAATATAAACTAATTCACGCGCAAGTCGCCGTGCCTGCTGTGTAGCACATGGTGCACATCGTCGGAATCGACATTCCAACTGTCAGGAAGGGCCTGCTCGGTCAATGTGTTGAGTCATCTACAGCTGTATCCCACTGACTGCCTGCTGGCGGTCTGTGTATATTATACGGTCATCCCGTTAGAGCTGATAGATGTCGGGCCAAATATTCGAGACAACTTTAAAAGAAGGTTTTTCTCGATGGATTCACTCCAAGTTAGCGCGGTGGTTTCTTAGGCGGTCTAAAAAATTGCAACTTATCAGCTGTAGTACATAGTGGAAAGCATGTGGAGATACTGCAAAACCCACAGATAAGCAGGTTTCCTTCTAACTGCGGCATGCAGCGACAGAAGGTCCAAGAGAAGCAGGTGTTTAAGCTATTAGTTAGTATGCGTACTGTCAATATAGTGAATTCTGCAACATCTGAGATAGGTTAGTCAATCAGTGTTCTCGTAGATAATCTTCCCCGCTGTTTTGCTAGAGACAGATAATTAGTTTTGGTACATTGGCAGACCTGAAGCTATTGATAGATTTCGAAGGCATTTAAGTAACTTTTGCTGCATTTTGTCATTAAAAACACCCAATCGTAAAAACAGTATGCCAAGAGTAGCTCACTGAAAGCTCTCTTATTCAAAAATTTCCACGGCTTTCACCTCAAGCGTTGTCTCTTGGTACATCCTTCGGCTGATGCTAATACGTGGAAAATATGCAGTTATTTCGCGAGAGGGAGGGGAAGCTTGTGAAAAAAGACCACTCGAGCAAAGTTACGACATATTCTTGAAAAAAAAGACCCAGTTACTGCTTAGGCAAAATCCCACCGGACAAGATAAGTGGGATTGTCTTTCCTACACGATTTGTTTTAATGCCCTACATTTGTCTGAAGCCGCCAAACTTGACAAATGCTTAAATTTTTATTTTGTCCTCTCATGAAAACGATGTGTACCATGTCTCCGCGAGACATGTTAGAAAACGGTTTAACTATATTTTCGTCCTTTTATATTTATTTGCAGATCGGTAGTTGGAGTTCAAGGAAGGGTATTGTGAAGGAGCCCAATAAGTCACATACAAACATGAGTTCGGGGGTCGATCACAATCGCTTGCGCATTGTCACAAGCATACTGGTATGGAAATGCAGTTTTTCGTCAATTGTTGTCTTAGGGAGTTTATTCCTAAGGAAATTGTAAGGCATTTTTTTCTACTGAGTTATTTT